ACATCACCTTCCGGTTCTATCTCAAATAGATTAACGCACAGGGGTCTGCCTCAAGGTAGTTGCCTAAGCCCCTTGCTTTTCAACGTTTACATGATACCAATATGTTCTTCCCTTGTCTCCCCTAATTCCCAGTTCCTCATGTACGCCGATGACATTGTTATTTTCTCTTCCAATAAATCCCTTGAAAGGTCTATTGACACTTTAAACTATGCTTTAAATAGTCTATCTACCCTTCTATCAGCATCTTTTTTTACCATTGCTCCTGAAAAAAGTAATTTCATGGTTTTCACTAGACGGCAGCTTTCAGTTCACCCCCTTATAACCCTAGATAATAAAACCATTCAACCTTCATCTACTGTCACTTACCTTGGGCTTATATTAGACCCTAAATTAAGATGGGTTCCACACTTTAAATATCTAAAAAGCACAATATCTCGTTGGTCTAACTTTCTACGGGCTACCACTGGCACTAATTGGGGCTCGCATCCATCTTGCCTCCAAACAATCTTTAACGCAGTCATAAGGTCCAAGGCCGACTATGGCTCCTTCCTCTTTGCCTCTGCCGCACACACTCATCGTAAAAAGCTAAACTCAGTAATTTCATCCTGCCTTCGCACCATTATTGGTTCCTTAAGTTCCACCCCATTAGTAAGCCTAGAGGTCGAATGTGCTTGCCCTCCAATTGAGCTAAGAAGTCGTCAGCTTGCGGGTAAATTTCTCCTCAAATGCCTGTCCTCTCCTTAATACACACTTTTTCAAATGTTTGTTTCTATAAAAAATTCTTGGACCTATGTTCCTAAAACACTCCCGATTCTTGCTTCAGTAGCTTCTTCTTTTTCATCTTTCTCTCCACTTATCTATCGTCCCTGTCTTCGTCTACAAATTTACGACACCCTCTATCCAGCACTTTTATTTACCCCAGAAGTTACCGTTTCGCCCAACTTTCTTAATTACTCCCCGAAAGAACTTCCTCGCATTCCTTCGACTCTTGTTCAATCTTTATTTAGCGATTTTATGACATCCAATTTTCCTAATTCAGTTCCAATCTATACCGATGGTTCTGTATCACCCAGCTCGGCAGGCTTCTCCTTCTTCATTCCATCAATCAATTTATCTTACTCCAACAAACTTAATTCACACGCGTCTTCGTTCACAACGGAATGCCACGCTATAATCAGTGCCTTACAATTCATTTTCTCCCTCGAACTCAATACGTTCCTTATTGTTTCCGACTCACAATCATGTCTTTTCGCCATCGCATCCGATTCTTTTAATTCTTTCATATCTCCACTAATACTTATTATCAAATCCTTAGTATTTCGTCTAAGTCTCGATAACAAATCAGTAAAGTTTTTTTGGGTTCCTAGCCATGTCAGCATAGGAGGCAATGAGCGCGCTGACTTTCTAGCCTACTCAACCAAATCTTTAATCAATTCCTCTCCTCTCAAACTGCCCGCATCCGATATTCTTCCTATCCACCGCAAATTACTACGTAAGGCGTGGCAATCCAAGTGGGAATCCTTACCTGATAACTTTGCCTCGTGGCACAGACAAATTGTACCATCAATCCCTACCCATCGATGGTATAAAGACCTAAAGATTTCTAGGAGTGTTATAGTTTACTACACACGCCTACGTATTGGACATAGTCTTCTTCCACACCATGCTTTTAAACTTGAATTAAATTCTTCCCCCTTATGTACCCGACACCAAGAAGAAGCCATCTGCAATTTCGAACATATTATTTTCCACTGCCCTTCCCTCCACCCTAATAGACAACTTTTTTTTCATATCTTTGTTCCTTAGGTTATATCTCTCCCGACTCAAAACTTCTTTTAAATTCTCGTTCTCCTCCTATTATTCATTCTCTAATTCACTACTTCCTTTCTGCTGGTTTTCTAATTTAAAATAGTCAGAAAAAAAAATGTTCTAAACCTCATCTTTTTGTAATTTAATTACCCCACATTTACATCATAACTGTATTGCTATAATGTTTATCAATAAAAGCAAATAAAAAAAAAAATAAAAAAGTTACGTTCCGTTTCACGTAGGCGCGTATCGTACGCGTGTAACATAAATTGTTGTTTATTTTATTTTCATAGGTAAATTTGTAAATTGTAATTCTGTAAATAATAAGTAATAAATATCTTTTGTTTTCACTGGGAAACCAAATGTTTCTATTATCCGATAAAAAATTTATAACATCCTTATGTATATTTATAAGTAAGCTGTAAGCTAAATTTAAATTCTAAATTTTCCTAAGCTACAGTTTTTTCCTTAACAGTTAACACACATAAAAAATAAAAATATTAATTCAAATTAGATATATATATTTTCTTTTTTCTTTAGGTATATAAAAAATAATTTAACATATTATAATAATAAAGTATAATATAAACTATATTTTTACTATATCTGAAATTGTAATCTTCTACGTTTTATTTTTGCAAACATATCCAGAGCAGGAGTTGGGTCTTTTAACAATTTTTCCGAATTCTCTGTATCTATAGATAATGAAACAAGGTTACTCAACCTAGGATTTTGCATTGTAGCTCTCAAGTAAGTCTTAATACGCCGCATAATAGAAAACCTTCGTTCAGCACTAGTTGAGGATACAGGAATTACCATAGATAATTCAACTACTTTTCTCAAGTTAGTGAAAGCTTCGCCATAATTACTTATTTGTTGATGTATATCAGACAATGTTGAAGCTTCCAAAAACAAAGATTTCCCAATTAAACACTTTTTTATTTATGAAAGTGTAAATAATAAAAACAAATACGTATTTGAATTCCTTAATTCTTTACTTATTTAAACATCACAGTGAACTTTTTAAGGTGAACGTAAAAATTTTGATACGGGCAGCTGCCCACCCTGCCCGTAAGCTAGAACCGTCACTGAACATCATAGGCTTATTCTGCGTGTGGGCACACTTATTATGTTGTTGCGAAATTTGAAACCACCTAAACTGTGCAATGGGACCAGGCTTAAAGTCAAAAATTTTACATCGCAATATAGTAGAAGCCACAATTTTAACTGAATGTGCAAAAGGGGAAACTGTGTTTGTACCACGAATCCCTTTAATTCCGAATGATCTTCCGTTCGAATTTAAACGGTTCACAAGTCTAAAGGCCAAACTCTCAAATTTGCAGGGATAGATTTGCGAGAAAACTGTTATTCACATGGGCAGTTCTACGTAGCTTGCTCACACGTAAGCTCAGTGGCGTAGCCAAGGGAGGTGGCTAAGGGGGCTCTAGCCCCCCCATGGGCCGTGTTTATATGTATAATGTATCTTGACAATTTAATAGAATCAATGGATGCTCGTTTTAATCAAAGGCTTATTAATGTTATGCCACTTGAAGGACTTATTCCGGCCAATTTAAATATGTTTGATGATAAAAATATTATAAAAGCTGCTAAAATATAAGTCCAAGTTCTCCATGATGATACCTCATCTACAATCAGAGCTGACCTGTTCATATGAAGGCAACAATAGAGTCAAAATACTATTCCAAAACGGAATTCTGCTCTTGATTCACTCTCTCATCGCACCAATCTTCGACCTAACATTAAAATACTTTTACAATTATTCGCCACGTTACTAGTTTCCTCTTTCACTCCGGAAAGAACGTTTTCAGCACTTAATCGCTTAAAAAATTTTATAAGAAGCACCATGTCGGAAAACAGACTGAATGGGTTATTTATGGCTAATATAAATAAAAAAGAGCTTGCTAGGTATAGATTTTTATACTTAAACCCGGCAACGACGGGTAATTCAGCTAGTAATTTTATAAAAATACACATGTATCCGGCAGGTATAAAATTTAAAATTTATACTATTTGATTAATAAATGATAAAAATGTGAAGATTCTAATATAATTAACTCAACCAAAATAATAATGATAGTTGAAAAATATCTTAAAACTCAATAAATTTAACGTTAATCATTCAATATCAATCATTTTCTTCAGTACATATCCCATTGACTTAACTATTGTTTTTAAAATTCAAATTAGTTAAAATCTGTTTTTTTTTTTTAAATAAACATTCCTTTATTACTCGTATAGGGATATCAAAGATTTGATTAATACTATAAGAGATTAATAGAATCAAATATTTATATCTTAAATGTATGATAAATTATAGTACATAGTATAAATAAACAATGATATAAAGTATTAAAGTATGATCAATGAATTACATTTAAATAATAAACGATTAAAATCTAACTTCACTGATTAAAAACTAACTAAATAGGGTTTTATTTTATAGAAGACAAAATTTCTCTGTACATTTTTCGAAAAATTACTCTTGGTATGAAATCAATTATTTATTTATTCATTTATATGCTGGAAAATGAAACGGGAATTGGGATTTTATTTACACCTTGGAGGTTGGCATTAGCTTTTTTTTTTGTTCTTATCACGTTTGCTGTTATCAATTGTTATTAAAAATCGGGAGAATTGTACCCGTCCACCATAGGAAACGGGAGTTTATCTTGTTCCGTGATATCATCGATTTGTGTTTATGTCTCTTCGATGACAATGATAATAATAATAATAATATAATAATATAATAAATAATATTCTCCTCCGGACGGTTCGCGGCGACAGCAAACAACAACACATCTAACCGGCTGTATATGTTCCAGTGTTAGCCTGTCATCGTTGTTAATTCTCGTTCATGTGCATCCGAATAACGATGCATGTTTGGATGTCACCATGGTATGAGCTGATTGTAGTCACTGCGTGTGCCGGATTCGTCGACAGCACAACAACGTCGTCGTCGGTATTAAGCGTTCGTTGTTGAACTACGCTTTGCCAGCTATTGGCCTTTCATTTCTGGTACGTACATAACTTGCACAACTTGTTTTTTCTCCACTGACAACCAAAAAATATTGCTTATTGTCGTCACTTGTGTAAAAATTCAAAGTGTCTGAATATTGTTATTATTGCAGGCATCTTAGTATGTGAGAATTTCACGAATAATCAACGATAAAATGAATAGTCAAAATTTTACGTTGGCTGAAAATCTAATACCTTCCTCGTACGTCCAACAAGCAGCTAGCGCTTTGAAGACTAGAGAGAACTTGGCCAAAACGCTCATGGAACAGGTACGTTTTATCTAGACATTCAATATAATATTATACTTCCATAGTTAGGGACTCATAACAATATTATTTTGAATGAAAGTTAATCGATATTATATTTTTTCAACAAACTTTGAACTAGATGTTTATTAATTTATTATTTTTTTATTAAAATGACTACAATTATTGCAAATGATTTTGTCTTAATTTAGAATGCATTTTCAGTTTGGAATGAACTTCATTACCATTATTATCTTAGATAAATCCTTATTTGGTGTATTGAATCTTTTGAATCTTTGGTTTAGACTTGACCAAAATTAAAAGTAGCAATTACAAAAATAGTTTACTGTATGTACTGTTTATCTATTTATTTTGTTAAATTTAAAAATATAGAAATACAAGTTTATTATGATAGTATAACATAAAGATGGCTATTATTCCAGCTACTATATTTTTTAACTAGTACATAATATATGCTTTTTTAAATAAAATGAATTGAATTATAACTTGGACTTAGTACTTATAACATATTTTAAATTATATCAACCTCATAAATTCCAATATATAGACCAATATAAAACTTGACTGAAAAATTTGCTATAATGCTGTATTGTAGAACATGTATTTAATTTCTTCTGGGTGGCTTATACTATAATTTTTAGAAAATGGCATAAACTTAATAAATATCGTTTAAGCAAATTGAATGTATAATCAAATTTTTATTTTGCTTATTATTAAGATAACTAAAAACCTCTGTAAAAACCATTTTAACTTATGGATTTTATATTATAGAGAAAATGGCCAGATAATGGTTGGGATGATGCTACTATTGAAATGTTTTTATCGAACTTAGCTCTTATGGACAGTAACAACTTTAAAGAACATGCTGGTGTTGGAGAACGAGAAGGACGCATAGCTTGTAACTTAGTTGCTAAACGACATTATCTTATGACTCATGGAATTGGCAGGTCTGAAAATATTGCTGAGGTTCAACCCAATGCCACAGGATCCAGTTTAATGATTAAATTAGTAAACGCTATGCTCCTAGAATCTATTCGTTTTATGGGTAAAATTTAAATTATTTTTTTACATCCATATGAAATTGAAAATAAATTACTAAAACATTATTATAAAATATTATTTAAACAATAAAATGTATTTTATGTTTATGTTTTATTATAATCCAGGTGTAGCAAGTGCAACTGGTTGTTTTATGGTTCCAATGGCTACTGGAATGAGTTTGATGTTATGTATGTTAACATTAAAACAAGATAGACCTGGGGCTAAGTTTGTGTTGTGGTCAAGAATAGACCAAAAATCCTGTTTCAAGTGTATAATTACAGCTGGTAGGTTTTTAAGAAAATTATGTTGCTATTATATTCCAGACAAGAATTATTTTTTATTGAATTGTTATAGTAATTATTAGAAATATTTTATAATATTTTAATATTAAGAAAATTTAACTTCTAAATTTTTAAATTATATAGGTCTACAACCAATAATCATTGATCCTATTCAATGCGGTGATGAATTACATACAGATGTACAAGGAATCGAAGCACAGTTATCAACTCTTGGATCTGATAACATAGTATGTGTATTAAGCACAACTAGTTGTTTTGCGCCTAGAGTATCAGATTCACTTGAAAAAGTTGCTTGTCTTTGTCAAAAATATAATGTTCCACATTTAGTTAATAATGCATATGGTTTACAATCTACCAGACTGATGCATTCAATACAAGATGCTTCTAGGTATTTCTATTGTCTTAAATTGTTCTATTTTATAATTGTTATAATTTTTTTTATATATTTATTTAGGAAAGGGAGGATTGATGTTTTTGTTCAAAGCACTGATAAAAACTTTTTAGTTCCTGTAGGAGGTGCTATAATTGCAGGATTTGACAAAACTATTTTAGATAAAATTACTAGAAATTATCCAGGTAATATTATGCATATTTTATATTTTATTAATTTAATTATTTATCTTAAAATAATTAGGAAGAGCATCTTGTAGTCCTGTTATGGATATTTTCATAACATTACTATCATTGGGTACTAATGGTTATAAGGAGTTGATAACACAACGTAAAGAAGTACATCAACATTTAAGGAAAGAACTTGGAAAAATCGCTGTAAAATATGGTGAACGTTTATTGGATATACAAAATAATCCTATATCCATAGGTAATATGCTACTTATTCTGTTAATTGTATTTATTTATTGAAAAATTTTATTTTAGCTATGACCTTGACATCATTAAGTGTTCAAAATGCGACTGAAACTGATACAAAAAGATTAAGCCAACTAAGCTCCATGATGTATATGCGCCATGTAACGGGCTGTAGAGTTATATCATCTATTGAAGTTAAAGATGTCTGTGGTTATAAATTTGATGGTTTGCTTATAATTTAATAATTACAAATTAGTTATAAATAGATAAATCAAATTGTTTTTGTTGTTAAACAAATAATTGTTTTTATTTATATTTTCAGGTTGGGGAGCTCACAAATCCAATTATCCTTGTCCTTACATTACAGCTGGAGCTTCAATAGGTGTTAAAAAGTCTGACATTGATTTATTTATACAAAAATTGGATAAAGTAATTGCTAGGTTAAGAAAGTCATCACCATCTAATTTGGAAACTCCGTCATCATCAGAAGGTAATGACACAACATCTATGCGACGAACAGCTACTGTTGCATCTAGCTATCGTAGTACAATAAATGGAGTTTACTCTATTGGAGATGATAGTACATCAACATCTCGCACATCTAGTGTTGATAATTTACGTAAACATTGATAATTTTGTTTACTTGACATAATTTCAATTACTTACGTATGATTTAGTCAATTTTTGCTTGTAGAGCAGAAAAAGGATCTCTAAAGCAGTTATATTTTAAAATAATCAATATTGAATCCTTAACTCTTAGTAGTTGGTAATTTTGTATGTTTCTGGTTTTATAACTTTTAGATGTTGCCTTCCACCATGACGTGTTATGATTTATAGTAAATAATTTATCAATTTATATTCAGATGACTATATATAGACTGAATGACTCAATAATTTATAATGGAAAGCATCGCAAATTAATAAAGGTCATATTTAGAAAGTAATAAACACATAGTATACTAGGGTGAATATGTAATAGCAATTTGTACTTAATTTAAGCATCTATTATTTTTGATTTTTATGAACCAAGGATTTTTTCCTTGAAAGTATAATTTCTTACAAATTTAATCAACTTTTAGTATTTTTACACAAAACTATTCAATTAAAAATCTTTATAACTTAAATTATAAAGTTTATATAATAATAATTTGTTGAAGATTAATTATTTATATGAATAATCACCTATTGTTAGATGTGGGTTAAATAATATTGAGGTTCATATTTAAAATTTAAACTTAAAATATTAACACCAAAATTACGCTCGTGTTTTATTAAAATAATTTTTCCTTTAATTATATTTTATATAATGTTATGAATGATAATTTTTTTTATATTTTCAATTATTTTCATTGACATTGAAAATTTTGTATTAAACTCTATTAGGTTACCCTAAAAATTGTCATAATTTAACTTCCACATTAATGATATTTTTATGCAACCTATACAACCTAGTTAATTCTGAATAAATGTACTCCGTATCTAAATAGGTTTTGTATTTTTAAATACAAATTTACAATTTAAATTTCTTTTATATATTATAATTGAATTTCAAATCATATTAAGATTCCATGATCCTTAAAACTAAGTGCAACAAAACACTATTCAAGTTAATAATGCTTTGAGCTTAATTTATTAGTAATTTTATTATTGAATCCATTCCATAATTTCTCAAAATACATAACATAAGTATTTTGTAGAGTAAGATTTATAATCTATGTATAAGGATATGTCCATATGTTGTACAAAAAAAAAAAAAAAATTGAAAATTAATATTTAATATAAATTAAAGGTGCTTTATTTATGTTTTTATTTTATATTTTTATTTTTTTTATATAATAAGAACAGTGTTAGGTGAATTCCCCTTTTGATTTTGGTTAACCGCATTGCTCAATATTACTAGTTATACATATTCTAGTCTGATACCCTTAAATGCTTTATTTCTAATCATTTTTTGTATTTCAACTGTAAATGTTTGAGTTGGGCGAGTACTTATTAAGTTATTATAATATTTATATATTTTATTTAATACAATCTGGTTTATCATTTTTATTTATTTGAGTATTATTTTATTATTTGACGTTATTACTTGGGCTCGGAATAAGATGTGTAAAATTTTTAAAATATATTGAATTTTAATTTTAATTATGCTTTATAAGAAATAATTTTATTTTAATGAATGAATTAAAATTGTAAATAATATATTCCAAGGAATATAAATATTTAATACAATAAAAATGATATTTTTTATTTTGCCTATTTTTACATTTATTTGTTATTGCAGCTATAAAGTTGAAATAATATTTCAAAAAGGTAACATTTTGAATTAAATTACGCATGTTAAAAATGGTCAACTAAAGATGATATTAAGTTATCGAAGTGCTTTATTTAATTAAATTCCAGATATTTTTTAGCTATAAATTAAAAGTAATCATTTAATAATTTTTAATAAAATTGGTATCATTCATTGATACAGCTTACAAAAAAGAAAAATAATATTTTTAGAACTTGTCTCTTGTATACAAATATACAAACTGATGTATCATAGTAAAAAAAATGACCTAATTATAAGAGATTATATTTGCCTTTTATTAATTCATAATCTGATATAATTAAACTGTTAACTTGATGGTACACAATTTACTTAAATATTAAATAGATTTAATTAATTTAATAATTCAGGCATGATGTATTTTAATTATATATTAATGTACATTATACAGCTTATGTTATATGTTATCTATTTTTAAGTATTCATAAATAACTTTAGATTTGTTTTTGATAGTTGTGATATGAACTTATGATTAGAAATTCCTCATCACTCATATAATTTGGAATTGAGTAACGACATAAGTTTTCAAAATCTTTTAATTTAACTAATCCAACATTTTAGATGCTGAAAATTATAGTACCTAAGAAATAGTGTCTCTTTTTAGAGAATTTAACTGATAACTAAGTGTAACATGGCAAGGAATGCAATTGATTATTTGAAAACCAAAATAATCTAGTACAAAAATTGCAAATTCACTGTACTTTTCAAATTTTGCTACAAAAGAGATTGAGGAATTTCTAATTGTACAATGAAATATGCTCCAAAGCTTATAGAAACTTAAAAATTACATTTTTATTTATTTATTTTTATAGTTATCTACTAATTAATGATCTTCATAGTAAAACATAGATTATTCATTTTTGCTTGAAAAAATTATATTAGCTATAATAGATATTTTAAATTAAAAATATAAACATTTTACTGGTTAAATTTTGAAATGTAAACATTAATAACAATTATGTTCAAAATTAATGTAATAAAATAATCATTATTTATATATTTATAAATCTACTTTTACTGTTATCTATTGAAAATAAATTTGAATGCAATTACGTCTGAGCCTTAGTAGTTACTAAATTATGTATAATTTTACTTTTTTTGAATATATATTATGATTTAAAATTGTTAGAAATCAATAAAAACTGTGATTTTAAAAGAGCCATGTAATTCACTTGGTTGTAAAGGATCTCATTATTTTATATTTTATTATTATAATGATTAATATTGCACTAGATAAATGTATTATGAAATAATTTTAAAATTATGTCTGTCAACATGAAGTTAAAATGAAAAGATTATTTGCATTTTATACAAACATTGGAGCAACTGAGATTTATTTTCAGAAAAGACTTTGAAAGAAGAAAGTATTGAAAGAATGAAAGAAAAACTCAGAAGAGATTTTGAAATATTTACTCTTCGATTAATATTTGGGAAAAATACTTATCTTTACTCTAGTAAATTCTTTAGGTAAAATATTTTATCTTTAAGTAACACTTTAAATTATTATTGTATTTTTGTTGTTGGCCAAGTATACTGTTATTTTATATTTAAATTTTCTGATAAACCTATTAATTGCATATAAAATATATTATTTCGACACTCATCTTAGAAATATTTCCTGGAAAATAATTAGAAGTTTAAAAAATTTAATCTACTTGAAGATTATTCAGTCCTTTTGGGGTTATTATTTGAAAAATATTAAAAATTAATGTTCATCGCCATTGCATTTGGTTATATTTAGTATTTATTTATAATGTAGTGTTTGTCATTAAATTAATTTTGTTATTTGATATTTTCATTAATTGTAATTAGTATGATTTTAATCAACTCCAAGTACTCGCCAAACTCATACAAACCAATTTTTAGTAAAGGGGGATAGGATTAATTGAAACAAGTAGTTAGAACTATTAAAATTATATTGAACGAGTATTTTAGATAAAGTTGATGGAATAACATTAAAACATATGGAAGATGAACTTATGTAATTTTACTTCCAACTAAATTTCTTCCATCATTTATAACTTGGTTTTTAGTTTTCCATTACAACTGTGTGATATAATTTAAAAAAATTAGATTTATAGTATTAGATACTACATTATTGACTCAAGTTAATGCATTTAAAACATTTTAATTAATTGGCCTAGTTATTTAATTTTTGTTATTTTGTTTTACTATTTTATATTTTTTTATTTTTATTGTATGAAATAAATACTATTAATATTTTTATTGGACAATCAGGTAGTTTGAATGTACTTAAAGTAAAATATTATGTATTAATTTGCTGTTTAATTTGCATTAACTTGGTCAGTTAATTTATATTAACAAAAGTCAAAAAGTAAAAATTGTGTTAAACAAATTGTGTAAATATACTTTTTGGCTTGTACAATTTTTTTTTTTTTTTTAACACAATGTGCAATGTGCAATAATTTAAAATTTGTAGTATCACATTATTTATGTTTATCTATATATTAATACTACATACATTTTGTCCACGTTAATTATTAGTTTGTTGATTTTTAAGTGACACAAAAACACTTGATCAAAATAAAAAACATTTTATTAAAATTTTTGTTTTTCATATTATCTTTTTAAAAAATTTGATAAATATATATCTGTGTAACATTTACTATAAATATGGTTGATGCTCTTTTTATTTAAAATGATTAATGTATTTATTCAACGTCTATATTAATTGTACCACTGGTCTCTGTGTTTGGTATTTATTTACATTACTTTTGTAAATTAGTACTTAATTAATAATCTGTGATATACATCTATAGTGACCATATTAAATATCCTAATGAAGACTGTTCTCAATTCTATCATTAATTTGGCTGTTCTTTTGGTCAAACTTTTATTATTATTAGTGTTGTGTTTGTAGACTTGAAAAATGTTATGTTGAGCACAACCAAATCTTCTGTCTTCCAAAGCTGATTAAAATAGTTTGTTATTGTCCTTATTGTTAAACATTTTATAGCCCCAAAGAACGAAATTGCTAATTTTATCAAAAAATAAATAAATAAATAAATAGTTTTAGTTGTGTGACAACATTTAAAACTACTTCCAAGAAGATTGGGGAATATGAAGATTTGCATTTTGATGAATAGATTATTCAAGGTATATGAGTTTTGTGTACATTTCAATAATCCATAAGGACAACCAAAAGAATAGACCTCAAATATATGGGTTTTTAATTTAGGTATAAGACATGTGTATAAGAATAATAGATAAGTTTTTACCTTTTTTTAACATGTTATATTTGAGTATCTATTGGCTATTTTATAAAAATTAATAATTAAAAAACAGTCCCGTACTGTTTGCAGTGGAAATTCTAAAATTTCAGAATAAATTTGATTTAAAAGCTTGAGGTTTTTTATTGGTTATTGTTTCATACTTTTTTCATTCAAAATGCTACCTTATATTGTTATTAATATATTATAATTATATTAATAATTAATATAAGTTTTGTAGGTACATTCAATAATTATTGTAATTAATATATAATATAAAGTATTTTTTACTATGTTACATTCAAAATTAAAAAAAAAACATTGCTATAACATCAGATAACAATATTATTGTATTTATTTTATCTTTATAATATATTTTAAATTATTATTATAATAATTTATTCATATAAATAAAATAATAAAATTAAGTATGTAATTTTTTTACCTAAAATTTAATTTTTTTTTTAATTTTTAAATTTTTTTTACTATAGTAAAGTATTATTTTATAATTTAATGTCTATATTATTTATTAAGTTTACTTACTTTCCCATAAGGAGAATCTGAGTTAGTATTTAAATAGTAATTACCTTCTTTCCTGTAAATCAAGTTTATCGATTTCTTTATTTTATTCTTTAATAATATTATTGTAATTATTCATGTTTTACTTACGCCTTATCATATGGGGCTTTTCCTAGTTGTACCGCAAGCTCTGTATTATTTGAACAAGCTCCTGATGTATACTCATCGTATGATGGGCATGGTACAGCAACAAATGCATCACCTCTAGTTAAGGCTTCCGCATAATAATAATACGCTCTCCGATGACTACAAACAGCTTTAAATAAAAATAAACTTATAACATCAACATCACTTATTATAAATTAATAATATTACTTATATACAAATATTCGTATTTTTTTATGATCATTACCAGCATAATCAATTTTACATCCTGGTTGAGGCCAGGCACCACCATTTGGATAGAAATCCCTATGTCCGATACGTTTTTTAAATCCAAGAAATCCACCTGATGTATGCACGACGTCGACTAGTTTAGCTTGACTGGAATCAAGACGTTCCTCTGGGCCCGATGATGAAAACAAAACTCCTGCTGGATCTAGCCCTAAAAAAAATGTAAGTATTTTGAAAATTACCAATTCTTTTGATAGTATTATATTTTACCAGTAATATGTTTAACTTTTCCATATTTCAACTCATTGTTCGTTAGACCAACTACATGTGCTCCTAAAGAAAATCCTATTAAATGAAAATCTTCTGCCCGTGCATCAGTTGATGTAGATAAATGGTCAATAAAGGCTGCTAAATGTTTTGATACATGTTTAGTATTTTTTGCTGCAGTATTATACCAAGGTACGGCAGCTAACTCTGACCAATCAACAGTAAATATATTGTAATCGTTGTAGTTCAAAAATGCTGTAAATAAGGTTTTTAATATCGTGTATTTTATAATTGTGTAGTTATATTATTACCTTAGTGTATAAGTATATAAACAATTTAAAACATAAAACTAAAAATGAATAAATATAAAATAAGTAAAAAAAAATAAAATTTCAATTAAAATTTGCATGACCATCGAATAAAATAGATAACCACAGTCCATCAATGACAAACATATGCAAATAGACATCATATAAATGTTGGCTCAAAATTATTTAAAATTATTTTATTATTTTTTATGGTCAAACACAGTAAAAAATAATGGGTTGAGAAAAACAATATAAAATTTCATTAGAACAGCGGTTCCCAAACTGTGCACCGCGGTGCCCTAGGGGCACCGCGAACACTTTCTAAGAGCACCGTGGTTTACGGTTCATAACAAATAGTTTAAAATGGTTAGATTTTTTTTTCCATATTCTTTTCGTAAAAACGTTATAGCAAATAATGAAATATTTTCTATTGTATATTCGAACATCCTCATTTTAATATTTTTATGTAATAATTATAATAATTATAACAATAATTTTATTTATTTAATTTTTAGGTTTAAAAATTCATTAATTTATATAAAAGTTAAATTTTAATAAAATTAATAAAATTAGCTATCAATGAGTATTTTTTTGTCTTTTTATGTTATTCACAGCAGGGCACCATGGTTAAATTCAGTCCAAAAAAAGGCATCGCGGAAAAAAAAGTTTGGGAACCGCTGCATTAGAATATGATGCAATTTTTTCAATTCTCTATTCTTCCCAAAGTATATGGATTTATAATATTATTGTTTTTATAAAATATTAAAAAATAAATGATATATTATATACATGAGGTATAAGTTACTTACCATCTCTGAGTAATGGGAACATGAGAGAATCTTCAGCGCTATCACCAAATCCATGAACTAATACTTTTGATTTTCTTTGAGAGCGGAAATACTTAAATATTGGTAAACATTTTTTATCCATTGTTTGCATTTCAGCTCTTGTAGGATTGTCTCTATGTTATATCATGCATTTTATAAATATATTAATATATTTACATAAAATATGAATTATACATTGTATATGGTTAAATATCCAGGGCAGCATTTAGGGGTGGCTGCAGTTCAGGAGACCCACAAAATTGGTACTCACACAATTTTATGTTATAATGTTTATACATATTTAATTGAATAATACTGAAATTTATTTATACGTTTAAAATTTAATTTTTATCTAACTAATAATACATGTACCTATTTGCACTTATTGACAATAAATGGTGTTTTAGAATCTAGAGAAAAGTTCCTTACGTTTAATTGTAATTATTTTACATTATTATTTTTATAAAGCAAATACTTATGATTGTTTTTATAATTATTTATTATTAAATAAGTAGTTAATTGTTACTACTATTAAAATTTATATTAAATGTAATTTAATAAATACAAAAATGTGTTTTCTTGTTTATGTATAAGGCCACCTCACGTACCTAAATCCTCCCCTGCGAGTACCTATGTATCATAAGATCAATATTTATACTTTGAGAGGCTTATTGTAATATATTTATTCTCATATCTTAGAAACTCCAACATTAAAAAGCGCAATTTCACAACATGTTTTGTTATGACGTAAAAACATTCAGTATAGACTTGAACTTCAGCCCTCAGATTTCAAACACTATTTACGCCTACGCCTTAATTAAAATCATATTATATTACTGGAAATTGGATCAAAATATACGTTTATTGACTGGAAATCAAGTTTTATAAATATTGTTTTCACTATAACGTTTAATAAGTATTACAATTATTAATTTTTTCTAAATGTTTTAATTTTTTTTTATTTGATAATGTTATTGTATAAGCTATACAAAATATACAAAAATCCAAAATTATTATTAATTACTACCGATAAAAATAAAAAACATACCTACAATTATATACTAGTACTTTATTGATAAAGAAAAAATGCAATTGTTGTATTAAGTAATCGTTTTACGGTAGGGGAGTCTGGACCTCCCCAGATCCCGAATTTAGGTTGTGATATATTTTTCACTCGGGAAGCTTGAGATTAAAATGCTAAATATTTTTCTTTTATATAACAATTATATTTTAAGTAATAAATTATTAATGGATTAAAAATGTTTGTGTCTTAATAAGATAATTTCAAAAGATCCTCACCCCCAGAAAAATTCTAAAAACCGCCACTGATCGCATTATGAACTATAAATTAATACATTCAGTTTTATCATAGAATAATAGTATAGGTAATAAGAAAAATGAATTTATGATTTAACTTACTAAATAGGCAAGGCCGTAACTGGGGTGGGTCTAGGGGTCCGGCCCCCCCCCCCCCCCCCGAAATTTTCAAAAGTAGAAACATTTTAGCGGTGAATATAGTTTATTAACTATAAATTGTATTAAATAATAATGTTAGACCCGAAATTTTTTTCCAGTTACGGCCTTGTAAATAGGTACAGTAATATGTATCTATATACTACTTACACCCATCAATAATCAATCATATTGTTCATATGTGTAAGTAAATTTAATAATACCCAATGGATTGTGTATAATTTGTAAGTTGTAGCACAAAATACTATTTCTAACATATAGTTATAATTCAGATGTTTTGTACTTCACTACGTAAAGAAAATTGGTATTTTTAATTAATATGTAAAATATTAAATTTGATTAAGTATTGTGTCCCACAGACTCCATGACCCTCAGATTCACTGCACATTACTATAACGGTGAAATTAAATAATTATTTTATTTATTTATTTTACCTACCTAGTACTAAGTTTATTGTATTTAAGATGCATGATAAACTTGTGGAATGTACCTTGTGTATAAATAAAATTTAATATTTTCAATAAGCGGTAGCAGGTCTCCTTTGTCTTCTCCGTTATTTTTTTCCAATCCTGATAGAATAGCCAATTGCGGATCACCTCGTCCATTTGGCAATAACATCCACTTTATGTCCTCATCGACTCGATCATCAGTGATTTTTTCGTGAACTTGGTAGTTTTTAAGAGTTTTCTGCGCACAGAATATAATGTTATTTACTTAATTTTACCGAACTATTTAATTGCAGTTAATTATTTTTTATAATACCAGTTGACTGTATGGAAGAAACATAAATAGTATTAAAAAAAACATTGTTCTTGAATTTTTATTTGTGTTATAATACCAACAATGAAATAATGAATTGTATAGTCTTCGGGTGAAAAGCAATTGCTTATACCGTCAGTACTTTTTATTGTATGTAAACGATTTATATAGGTACTATACCTATAGCTATAGGACTATAAAAGCTATAGATACGGTTACCCTCTTTTATTTTTAACATTTGGCATACATATTTTATTATTTAAATACGTTTGGTATGTAGTATATATATTTATATATTTATTTAAATTGTTTTATAAGTTTCTAGGTGATTTATTGTAAGTTGTGATTCTAAGAAATAGGTAAAGATAATAATATTATTTTGTATGTACATAATCGTGTTCAGAATTAAATGTTTTGTTTGTGACCTGTTTATAAATTGAAAATTAACATATTGATACGAAAAAACCAAATATATTAAATGCACTTGGAGGTCGCTTTGTAAATTAGGTATGGCACACCGATTTAAATAAGCGTGAAAGATACTTAGGTATTAAGTGTAATGTATATCAGTGGTTCCCAATTGGTGATCCCCGGACCCCCAGGTGTCCGCTCGTTGATTTTATGGGGTCCATGGTTATGTATTACTGTGATGATTTTTTTATTTTATTTTAATGCAATTAATATATATATTTAACAATTTTACAAAAAGGTTTTTCAAATTAAAATAAATCATACATTTTTTTTTCATTTTCATAATTAAATAAAATTTAAAAGTATTTACAAAAAAGGGGTACCCGGACCAATTTTAAGTTATAACTAGGGGTCCGTATAACTAGGGCTTCATACTAATTGGGAACCACTAATGTATATTATATATGTTAATGTGTACATGATGATAATACATTTAGGTGGCTATTTTTAATTTAAGTATAAACGTTTTATATATTAAATTGATTATAATTTGTGCACAGCATAATTTTGTATGACGGATAGGTACCTCTCAAACGCAGATTGAGTCACAGATGTCACAGAATAGTTTTGCAAAGAATTTTTTTAAACTAATGGAAAATACTGACAAAATACAATTATAATATTAATAAATTAATTCAAAATATACAGATAATAATTAAAGTAATTTTTAATATTAAAGCCAAAAAAAAAAACTAACCATATAACTATGTATATATTATAAATTATTTATTTATTTTATAATATTATTTTTTTTTTAAATTATATTTTTTTTATGGATTTAATAGTTACAAGTTTTTATGTAAGTTCTTATCACTTCATTTTTTCAATCAAATCAGATTCTATGCATAAAATTGATAAATTGGACATTTTTTCTTGTATTAATGACGATCTTAAATAATTTTTTGAGGCTATTTTATTTATGCCGCCCCACTAAATTTGTCGTCCTGGAGCAAATGCTCCTTTTGCACCTAGGTTGATCCGGCCCTGCAAAGAATTGCCGACTTTTTAAAATTTCTTAGTGGGGCATTTGCCATAATCTGCCCCCCCCCCTCAAATGACGCTCCTGCTATTACGCAAATAAAGAAAAAAAACTATTTGTGATTAATTTGTATAACTTAATTATTTGTTAAATAAAAATAACAATGTATAACTTGAAACTTACTTTATTAATTTATAAGTATTGTATTACATACATTACTAATTCTCAATCCCTTTCCTTCAAGGGCTAACCTCCATTCATCCAATCTATAATTAACTTTTTCCAAATTTTCTCCTACCAAAACTATATCATCAGCAAGCATTATACCGCATAATATTTCGCCTTGTAGTATTTCGTAACTTTATCCATTACCACAGAGAACAAATAAGGACTTAGAGAGCCGACTCCTAATGCACACCAACTCCTACGTTAAAATCTTCTGTTGCTTCACAAAAACTCTTTACATGAGTTCTCAAGCCTTCATACACATCCTGAATCAAATTTACATATATTTTTGGGACCACCTTTCTTATTAATAACTTTATTTAAAACTTCTCTGGGTACTCTGTCATGCGCCTTTTCTAAATATATAACACCATGCATAATTTATTCTCCTTTTCCCTAAATTTCTCTACTAGATGTCTTAACACAAAATAATGACTCCATTGTTAATTTTTCTGGCATAAACCCAAACTGATTTTTTGATATTGATTAGTATACTGATATTTTCCCAAATCTTCATACTATGACTTATCAGCTTTATTCCTTTATAGTTCCCACATGTCTATACGTCTCATTTGCCTTAAAATATTGGTACAATAAAACTTTTTCTCTAATCTTTTAGAATTTTTCCCTCCATTTAACACTTTATTAAAAATATCTAACAATCATTCAATACTTATATCTCTAAAATTGTCCACACCTCTACAGACATTCCATCTGGTCTTACCGCTATTTTATTTTTCATCTATTTTTTCGGAATCTTCATATTCTCTTAATCCAATCAATCCTTCATTCCATAAAATATTCTCTAAAAATTCTTTTAGGTACTCCTCTTTCAGTAATATCACAAAATATTCTTTCCATTTCTTTTTCACATCTTCATCATTTTTTAACACCCTGTTATTCTAATTATTTATATACCAATCATTTTAAAAGTCTCTGGATCGTTTTTCTCTAACCTTAGCCTGTCTATACATTTATTTTTCTCTTTCCAGTGTTCCTAATCTTTTATATAAATCATCATACCTATTAAGCTTTGCTTTGCTTACTTCACTCTTCACTATTTTACATATATTTTTGTACTCTATCCAATCTTCTTTCTTCCTGATTTTCTACCATAACTTAATATGCTTTTCTTATTTGCGACTACTCTCTGAATCTCCTTATCCCACTACCACGTTTCTTTATTTTCTGGCATGCTACTTTTGGTTTCACCAACAATATCTTTTGCTATATTCATAACTCAAGTTGCCATTCTTTTCCAAATCTCGTTTATATTTCACACAAAATTCTACAGCTTTTTCTTTTGCTTTCTTTATAAACTCCTTTACTTCATTTCCTATAAATTTGTACCACCAAATTACAGGAATTACTTTAAAATCTTTTACTATTTTTATACTTTCTCTTCCACATAAAATAATCAATCTGCGACCTGTTTCTTCCACTTTTATATTTTGTATAATGCTCTTTTCGTTTCTTAAAATATGTATTAATTATTGCAAGTTCATAAGCTAATGAAAAATCCAAAACTTTTTTTCCAACCTCATTCTTCTTGCTAAATTCATACCCTCCACTCATTCTTTCATATTTTACTATTTTACTACCTACATATCCATTCATATTACTACCAATCACAGTATCTTCATTTCCTGGTATTCCTTATATCACTTTATCCATCTCTCGCCAAAACTCTTCTTTTTCCCTTTCTTCATCCTACTTGTAGTGTATACGCACTTATTACGTTTAATGCTTTTTCTTCAAATACCAATTTTGCCTTAATAAATTCTATCACTTTTTCTTCCTACTTCGACTACCTTACTTTTCATCTTCTCATCCAATATTACCCCAACCTCATTCCTATCACCAGTCCTACCTGAATATATTATTTTATAGCCCACTTTTATTTCTTTTACTTTCTTTCATTACCACTTAGTTTCCTGAACACAAAAAATATTAACTTTCTTCCTCTTCAATACTTTAATATTTGTTTTGCACAAAATAACGATTTTTTTTTTTCATTCAATCGTCGACTGCAACTCAAAAGTAGGTAAGACTATGAATATTTTTCATATTTTAAATGTGTTTACAGTCGTGTCAGATAAGTTGAGGCAGCGGCAGCGCACAGTGTTTAAAATCGAAAAAAGCTGGTCGAAATTAATAATTCATAAATTTTATACCATAAAAATCAAAAAGTATCGGATCATGATGTTTAAACGCCCTATTACTCAAATTTGTTATCAGTTTTAAAATGCACCTCTTTTTTGGGGAGTTGAAGGGGTTAATAGAACCAAAGTTTGATATAATTTTATATTTATTATTAAAAAAAAAAAAAAAAATATTTTTGTAGAAAAATTTACTAAACTTTTAGTATATTATATAATCAAATTAATAGTTAAAAAAATAATTATGATTACAATGTTTGATTTGTGTAGAAGAACTATACTTTAACTGTCCATTTACAAAGTGTCTTCTTTCTCATCTTCGTCAGAACTACTATGTGAACTGTTTACTTCTTCAAATAATTCTTTTACTTCATTGGGAAAGCACTTATTTCTTCCATTCACTATGTGAAGTTCACTTACCTTCGGATCTGACGATAACAACAACCTATTAAATAGATCTCTGTTTCTATTCGAGACGATTTTCTCGTAAAATGTTCTCTATATTTTTTTATATTTTTGTTCCTAGATTCTTGGGCTTCTTCACTTAACTGGCCAATAGGTAAAAAAAATGAAGCTACTATGTATGGTCTATGAATTAATATTTTATGTACACTGGGAGGCATGTAAAAACCATTCATATAAGTGTACATATAACTGAACAGTACTCCAACAATTATCTTCTAATTTCTTTACGTTTAATTGTTGTCCACTTCATAAACACTGAAAAATAACCCCAAAACGAATAATTAATGTTTCGTCAATACCGGTAATTTCAGCTGATGTTTTGTAGTTCTTGAAAAATCTTCAAGCAGTGTTCCCATCATTACTACTCCTAAAACCTGGCTTGGGGAAGTCGACCAACAAACCTAATTTCTTTTTAAAATCATTTTGAATTTGTTTTTTATTTTTGGCCAACAATTGATCAGTGCCGTTTTTTTTATTAACCTACAAAAATACAATAGTAATAATTTAATATATTTGTTATGAAGTTAATTTAATTATAATAATTACTTTCCACTGTTTAAAGTCTAATCTATATGACACGTGGAGCAGACATTCAAAACATCTTATATATGCATACAATGTAGATAATCCAAATCTGTAAAATAATAAAATACTACACAATTACTTTTAAATTGAAGCTGTATAACTACCTATAATTTGCTCGATTTACAACAACATTTTTCATTAGTTCTAACTTATTCATTTGCGAAATATTTAAGTTGCAAATATAACATTTCATCGATGAAGTCTCTGTCACTGCATTACATATCTTACCATCAATCATTGTAAAGTCCATCGAAAACTTAACTGCGCCTTTATCATGTATATAAG